GTGTTATATGATCATTTTATGAGATTTATTTGACAAAAATGTGTCATAATCATATTTCAATAGGAAATTGTTATTGCAAATTATGTTTGTTATCTTTTTACTAGCACTGAGCTGTTCCCCTTTCATTATTCATGTCTGACTTTTGTGACATTTGTGGGGCTCCAAAATACCAAGGCAAATTCTTCTGATTCTAAGTATCTGATGTATACTCCAGATATTGTGAGCAGAGCTAGTGGAAGTTTTTTGCCTTGTGACCATAGCACATGTGATCCATCAAATAATTTGAGGGAAAAATCAGTGTTACTAGAACTGCAATACAAAGAAAGTAACTTATTTTGAAGGGATCCTTATGTGGTTTTAAGTGTCTTCTTAACCAGAAGTTATGTTTTTCATCAACTATCATAATATAATATAATGTCATATTTTGACCACAGCAGTATGTCGAGAGTCTCTCACTGTTTAATACTAGCCAGTTAGTGAACAGGGGGTTTAGCACATCTTTGTTGCTAAAAACAGCTGCCTGAGGCAGCAGGAAACAAGCCTGAGGAAAACAGTGAAAACAATCAAAACAGTAAAGTTGAGCACCAGAATCAGTCATTTCAGCAAATGCTTCAAAACAACATATGCTTATGTTTAAGTGACAAAGCCCTCCAAGGTTATTGTTCCATAGGCTTAATCATCTGTTTATTTTTGTATCCATGATGATGAAGGTCCCCTAACTTTACAGAAGTAGTAATTTTAACCCAAGCCACAATGTTTCCCCAAACCTTACCAAGGTGTTTTTGTGCCAAAACCTAACCGAACCTTCACCACAGAATTCAGATTATAAAATGGATTTATTTTTCAGGATGATTTGTTTTCAAAGGCACAAACGAATTATGTCGTCCATGTTGTTCATCTATTGTTCGTAAAAAAAATATTGATCGCAGCTTCAAGCTATCAAAATGTGCAATCTGGCTAAAGTTCTATTAAAGTAGATTTTATTCCCTTTGACCTTTGAGGTCTCACAGACAATGCACGCTCTTCCTCAGTTTCACATCTACTGTTGGCCTTTAAGCAGAAGTTGGAGGTAGGTAAGTGTCTTGCTAAAGGGCATAGCTACAGTTATTTTCTGATGGAGGCGGAGAGCATTGTTTTCAGATTTTCCCACTTGCTGGGGATTCAAATTTTTCATTCCAGTCCTAGGTCCACTTCCCTAATCTTTGGGGCAGCAACTCATTTATTTCAAAAATGTAACAGTGGTCAGACAATTCCTCCTACACATTTCTCCTTGTTGACTTTTGTGGCCACACAGTTTAACCTTTGTTGTGGCAAAGCAACGACAGAGTTTATTGATTCTGTAAATGATCCAGTGGCTGAAATCAGTGAATTTATTTTCTTCCTTCTTCATCATACTAGAAACTCAAAAAATGCTACATTATTCTAAAACAAACAATAAAAAAAACTTTTACTTAACTTTTTTTCCCCTTACTTTTCCCGCAGGGCCATCTGTCAGTATTTGCTCTTACACTCTTACACACTTAACACTATCACATGATAAACATTTGGTTCAACACAAACATACACATGTGACTAAAGTTACAATGAAATAAACCAAAATATATATACAGAAAAAAAAAAAAGATGGGAATACAGGAAGTAAATTCAGTCAACATGACTTAAAGTCATGTGATTGACGTTTGAGAATATCATCACTGCACGACAGAGGAAGTGTAGATAGATGTTTTTCCCCCCTTTTCTTGTGTAATTAGATGTAACACAGACACATAATAACACATATTAAAAGCAGCTAATAACCTCTAATGGTGGCGTGCGAAGTGTGAGTCACATATTAGGAAGTATTATGTTTCTATGTTTACACTCTCACACGAAAGCTGATTTATTTCTAATACCATTACCTCCATATGAAGTGATGAGATGAGATGGCTTGATGCAGAGAAGGAAGCTTTATATTTGAATCATAATGGTGACTTGCATAGTTGTTTTCTCAAAATTTTTTGTCTGTTTTAGTTATTTGTATATAATTTGAATGTGACTTGGCTGCTGTAATACTGTGATTTCCCTTTGGGATTAATTAAACACTATCAGTTGTAAAGAAATGACACTATATATATATATATATATATATATATATAGTCAGTCAGTTGCTCCACCTTGATCAGCTGCAACTGACAGAATGAGTAGTTTTACTTTTTATAGTACATTTTAAGTACATTTAGTTAACTTTATTTGTTTTTACACTGAAATATTGCTACTTTCATATAAGAACCGGATCTCAGTATGTCTTCCATGCCTGCATTATATGCAACACTTCTAAAAAGTATATTTTGTTTTACTGTGAGAAAAAAAGTTTCAGCAAAAAAAAGCTTAATTGAAAATAGTGTTGCTTTTCAGCTTGGTAAGGAGACTTTGGGAACATGAATAAAAGTAAACTGGCAATAATTGTAAAAAGTGGAAAAATTACAGCAACACATGGGAAACTAATAGAGGTAATGTGATTATTTGATACACACGAAAGGCATGCTGCTCATTAAGCATAATGGTTTACAAACCCTTAAATAAAATAAAACACTCCATCAGAAAGAGCTCCTGAATGCTCAGGACAGCAAGAAAAACATAATGCCACCACATGCCATTATTTTATTGAATTCTTAATGCTTATCTTCCCCTTATTCTACCAGAATTGCCTTAAATGGTTTCCTTATCTTGTTCTCATGTCCTCAAGTATTTGATTATGTCTTTTTAATCTTTGTTTGTTTTGTTTTTTAACTGAACCAGATTCAAGCCCCAGGCAAATTTACCTCTACACGTAGAAAAGAACATATCTGTTTCTCTGTTAAACCCAAAATGTCATCATAGCCTGGACGAACAAGCCGACAGAAATGACAAGGCTGAGAAACAATCCCCATAGAACTACAAAGGCACGAGAGAACAAAGGAACAAGTATTATAGAGAATGTGTGAGAAATCATCAGCCTATGATACCTGCTAGAGGTGATGTCATGCTACCTGCATTCTCTAAATCTTAATCTTAAAGGGGCCCATATGTCCACAAGTTGTGTGAACACTGATAAGATGAACGGGAAGAGTGGGCCTCACACAAAGGGGATGTTTGACTCGTCACATAAAGACAATCCTGTTTAGAAAGTGCTGGTAAGAAAGTGGATGAATAATTTACAGCAATTATAGTGTAACATTTTCTGAGAGATTAAGTTAGACACGAGCGTGTGTTCATACACTTTCCATTACATTGAACCAAAGACAGACAGACAGCAGGTTTGTGTGCTGTTACACAATGTCAGTTGAGTGGACGGTCCTTCATTGTGGCCCAGAACACATTGCACTGTCACTGCTAAAAGAATAAGGTCACACACGGCCCAGGCCACCTCCGAATCCGTTGTCGAATCTCAATGCGTCCTCTATTCGTCTTTGGTGCATTCACACCTTAGAGCTGTCCACTTGTAATCGGATCATCCACGACGCATGTTAAAGGTCATTGGTGTATAATCACCTGAATATATTGTAGCACAGGAATACTCAAACCCTTGTAGGGGAGCGGCCAATCGGGTGAGAGCCATCTATCTATCTATCTATCTATCTATCTATCTATCTATCTATCTATCTATCTATCTATCTATCTATCTATCTATCTATCTATCTATCTATCTATCTATCTATGTTCATTTTAGGATTTTGGACTACTGAAAAAGGAATAATTGTCAGCAGGAGGTATGTCAGTTGTAATGTAGCTTTGTAATTTACCTTTATCTCTAGACAATATTTGTAACAGCGTTCTGGTGGTTTACAGGCAGAGCACTGACTGCAATTACACTGCTGAAATATCTGGATTGTTATGACATTTTGTACATTCATTGTTCCTAGAGAATGAATCCTACTACAGGGAAGTTGATACAAACCTTACCCCACTCTTGTATGTATTTGATGACCTTGGAATGGGAACCGGCTGTAAAGGGTGTGGGAGAAACTACGGTGGCAGAAACATGATGGAGATGGAGACCTGTGGCATCTGTAGATAAAAACAATTCGGATTTACAGGTGATAATACACTAATTAAAACATACCTATGAATATTATATTCAATTTCTGACAATAGAGCCTCCTTAAGCTTACACACTGGACCTTACAGTTTTCATACAGCTCAAAGTCGGGTCCAAACTTGAATTTGTCCAACGCTTTGATTCATAACCAAATACCTGCAATACAAAACTAATGACATTCCTATCAGCCCCAGATGTACTCTGAGTGCAAATTAATAAATGTTAGCATGCTAACACGATAAACTAAGATGGTGAACATGTTAAACGTTCTACCTGCTAAACATCAGCAATGGCCGTGTCAAAAATCACTGCTCATTTACTCATTCCCCCCATAGAAAACACACACTTAGTAGTTACTCAAAAGAAAATTGAGATTTCAGACACCAATCATTATAATTTGACATCATCACTACCAGATAGGCAGTCTAAGAATAATATTCATTATAGTCAGTGCATGAAAGGAACCAAACTGCCTCCAAAGGGTTTGATCTGAGGGCGTTTTAAGTTCAAGTGTCAGTGGATGATTTTGTAAAGGGGAAGCAGTGTGACAGATATTGCACCAAATATGTGGCTTCCTGTTTTTGCACCTGTTGCTCCTGCATGCTTAAGGCAACGTGTCATTAAAGTTGTACAGTGTTTCATACTGTATGTGTTTACAGTATCAGCAGGGATAGTGAGAAGAGAAACACCACGCTTTGTGTTGGCGGGGGTTTTAACAGTTCACTTGAGGTTTTTTTTATTCCATAGATGATTAGAATGTGTTCTCTCTCACTGTGTACTGCTGTCTATGGAAATATAGTACTGTGTTTGATACACAGTATTTGCATTTGTGTCACCTCCTATTCATTCAGGAAAGTGGCACCACCGTGTGGTCAGCTGACAGCTCGCAGTGCAAATAAAAAGTCAGTAAATTGACTCAATGGCTTTTAAGTAATACATCTTTTTTATTGCATTTTCATTTCACCCTTGATTTCAAACCACACTAATATAATATTCCATTTCATAAATTACACAAGAACATAGCAATGAAAACAAACATACCCCAGACAGTCACAGTTTATATTCATTTAGAATTCAATTAGCAAGACCACCAAACACCACAAGAGTCAGAACCAGCTGGCATACTTAAAAGTGGACACTTGGCTAAGGTTGGGTTGATGCTGTCTGTTAATTTGCCCAGATATTTTTGTCCAAAGTCAGCAAGGTGTGAAGATGTGACTTTCTATTAAAAGGTTTCAGTCACTAAAACCTGTAATTAAAACCTTCCTCACCATGCCTGATGGAGCTTTTTAGCATTTTAGTGTTCCAAGTTGGCCACAAAGATTATTAAAAGACTTTACTACCTTGCAAAAAATAAGATTCAATAATTGTTGAGCATCACTAAATTCTTTTGAGTATTATTTGTATTTTTTCTTAAATATCCATCACAAAATATTGGAACAAAATAAATTTTGTTTAAACATATTAGTATATAAGATTACTAATAACATACCAGTTCTACCCAAAACTATTCTCTCTCGTATAGTAACAAATTCTAGACACCTGAATGAAGCTCATAGGCACCCCAGAATGTGCTGTAAGTTCGAAAATAATCTGTGATATTTATACTGACACTGTCTCCCTCTGTAAGTTTGACAATCTTGGCCACCCACACGGAGCCCTCTGTTGTGTGTGGTAAGGTTCCCTCAACCAGTATTCTTTCACGTCTACCGAACGAGGCATTTTTTTTCAAAATCACTGATTTGCTCTGACTTTTATTAGCGTGCTTGCTGAAGGTGACCTGGGCGTAGATAAAGTAGAGGCTGTCCTTCATGCAGAAGATGAAGTTGTCACGCAGGTCTAGGTGGCAGGATTGACATTTGGGTGTTTGTATGTCATTTTGCCAGGAGTGCATGTCCGGAGCTGTGGGTAGATTTGGAAAACTTTCATTAGTTGCTCAGTTATAAAAAAATGTTTTGCCTCACCCATGGGACTTTGGCTCAGATTATAGTTCTACTGCATAGTCTACCAAGCCCCTTTGAAACATCCACACTTAAATTTGCATCTCAAGTTGAATAAAGACATCAGCTAAATACAGTTGATCTTTCAGTTAATGGCTAATTTCCTTCCATTTGACAGACTAAGCATCCCCTGACAAACGGATGTCTGTTGCTGTGGGCTGTAATTATACTTTAAGTCAGTGCAGCCCACATTAGAGCTTTGCTTCTGGGTTTGATGAGGTTTTAGGAACCCACTTCACACAGGAAAAAGGCAATGTGGTGGGAGGAACACAATGAGACTGGAAACATGACAATGCTATACTGTCTGTCTCAGTCAGCGGTTTAGCTTGACTGTCTGTGCACACAAAAGAATTATGTGTGAATGTAGTATACGTTAATCTCTTAGATATAATATTTTATATAACAAATTTTTTCCAGTGACATCCCACTGACCTGACCTGACCAGAAATATGGTTGTAAATATATTCTAATTGTTATAATTCTGGCAGAAAATTGTGTGTTCATGTTCACCCCTTCACAAGAAGCAGGAAGCTGATTTCAGAAAATATGTTATTAGGGCTTTTTACCCAAATTGATTACGCTTGACAGGATCCAATTAGACCAACTGATATTTGTTCCAGTGAATCTGAACTTCTCATTTAAAAATATCCATTAAATACTTCTTATCAGGAGTTACTTTATTGTTGTTGTTGACTCTCTGGGGCAGCCACTTCCTTTAAACCCTTTCTTTACTTAGAGACTTCCTACGTTTCTCAGAATGACTTTCAGTGGCTCTGTGAGCGCGTGTCAGAACTTGTTGCACCCAGTGTCTGTAGGTGTCAAGCATGGCTGCTGTCTTTAATGCAGTAGAAACATAATGACAGCAAGAGAGATCATCAAAAAAGTGAAAGTCATACTTTGTACTCAAAACACATCTTGTATTTTGGTCAGCTGATACTACTTTGATTTCTTTGGGAAAGAAAGCGGCACCTCTGCCTCTTTTTATAAGGAACTTTACTCCATGTGACTTTTGAAAGTCAGTGTGAAATCACAGCTCTAGAAAGACCTGCTCGCTCTTTGAAATTACCAACAACAAAAACTGACTGCTGATGTTTCAGAAAGTTAAAAATGTTTCTGCTGTCATTGTAAATATCTAAACTTAACATCTCCATAATTTATGCTTGACCAATTTTTCATAGAAATAAACAAACAACTGACTGAGAAATGTAAAATGGAGGATTTAAAAATGCAACGTATATCACCAAAGCTCTCATTATTTATATTTTAGATTGAGCTCATAAAAAATACAACCACAAACTGCAGTAAAGTCGTTACTTAGACGCATGCTCTCTACAGCAATTTAAAAATATACTATATAATTTCTTTTATATACTCAAAAACATCAGTTTACCACACACAAATCTATTCAAGAATATGAATATAAGCCAGAAGAGGAAGTGTACTTACAGATTAGCTGGATGTATGAGAAAGAAGATCCTGGAAAACATCATTTACTATTAGTTGCTATTGCAATAACTGGAAATCACAATACATTCTACTTTATCTTTGTGTGTATCTTTCAGTTTGTTTGGGTTATTAGGTTAAAATGTTTTTCGAACTTACCTATTGACTTTAAGGGACCCGCAATAGTGTTGCCTGTAAAAGAAAAATAGCAGTGATATTCAACTTCATTCATGTTAAATGTAGCATGTTTTTATCAAAATACTTATAAACCCTTAATTTTAAAATGAATTGTTTCCTGCACACAGTGAGATTTTACATCAAATCAATGCACCTGTTGTACTGACATCTGGCTTCAGTGTAGAGACTTCATCCTTAAAAAGATAGAAAACAAACCATCATTGTCTGCTGCAGTATCATCATCTCCTTCATCCCTTCCACTACTTTGTCGTCTCACTGCTACAGGGTAAATGTTGTCCGTGTCCAGAGAACCATTTGTCTCCATAATATCAACTTTCCAGTGCAGCTTGTTTTTGTTTTGTTTGTTTTATATTTGGTGGGAAATTAGCATTTTATAGATGATTCATTGGGTTTTGGGGGGGTTTAAATGGAAATACACAAATTATTTACTGTCAGGTGTAAAATGGGGAACCACTCATCTTATACAATGCAGCAAATGGACACAGTTACAGGAACACATGTACAATATAATCAGGTGTTTGATTCGACTCTGTGGTGTTTTCTGAGGTTGCAGTTTGTGGGGAAGTCTGTATTGAATTGCAGTTTATTGTATAAGTGATCTGTTATTGTATGAGTAAACACAATGTCATGATACTGCCGCCACCTAGAGGCACTCTCTTGACCTATGGCAACCAACTTACTTGTACTTTACTTGTACTTTATACTTGTAAAGAGAGAATATACTGGAACTGCTTTGTGGTAACATCAAACTCTTTTGATGTCCCATTCTGAGAATTGCAGTATCATTTCACAAACACACATGAGAGTTCAGGTGTTGGCATTTCCAAAATTATACTGTTCATTCATCGCCTACACAAAAGCGCCATGCATGAAATATGGAGCATAACATACTAGTCCAAAACTGTTCCACCTGCATTACTCATTCACTCTTTCTCTTCTTATGGCTGATGTGCTGACCTGAGTTGACTTTGTCTTGATTGAAGTGAGAAATACGGCCATAACCACCATGGTCACGGTGAGGAGACCACACCACACCTGCAGCAGCAGGTACTTATGAGAGGACCTTGACTGGCACTCCATTCTGTCAAATAAACACACAGACACATTCATTTTGTCACATATTTGAGGAGATTGTACTGATTTTAAGTATTTTCATTTTATGATACTTTATACTCCTACTCCACTGCATTTTTAGAATGAAATATTGTACTTTGGCTTTATCTGACAGCTACAAATACTAGTTACTTTTCAGATTGGGATTTTACATATGAGATACTTACAATGCACTATTAAATTTTAAACCAGTAGCCCTTACAAATAAATCTGTGTGTACTTTGGGCCCCTTGTCACATTTCAAATGAGTAGCTGTTACCCTCTAAACTTGTCACACGGTTTAATTTAAATAACTGTTTATTACTGTTTATGAGGACCAAAGATGTAATATTATCCAACGTTTATCACAGCAAGATTAGAACCAATTTGTAAAGTAGAACTTGGTTTTTCTTCTTTTTCTGTGTGACCCTTTGGAGGGTGCCAGACCCCTAGGTTAGGACCCACTGGACTCAACTACCTAACTGTATGTAAAGTAGTTAAAAATGGCTCCCCCTTGATCACCTACAACAATAAAATGCTACTTACACGTCAGTATTATAAATCGAATAATGTCTGATCAACTCTAGTACTTTTTGATATTCTAAGTATATGTTTCTGGTATTTTTTGTATGCTTTTTATTTTGAATGCAGGACATAAAAATGTAAGTGAGTATTTTTGCATTGTACTACTTGATAATTGGTACTTGTGACTGCTCATGTTGCTCTTCCTAATTAATTCCAGAGTTGCTGTGACATTTGTATATCTATCATCTCGATTTAAATGTTAACGAACGAATAAGAACAAAACTCATGAAATAAAACTCGGGTTGGAAAATAAATTAATGTCCTTTAACCACTAACTTTAAAATCAGCCTTAACACACAGATTGGCTGTATTACACACACTGCATTGTGGGTATATGTACCCTCACCATGCAGATGCTTCTCTGGGATTTTACCTCAGTGGGAGTTTTTTTTTCTGGGTCCTGCACAGAGTGTCACGTCAATATATAGTTTGTGGTTTGGTTGTTTATTTGTAATGACAAAGACTGAAAGTCTGTGGTCAGTCAAGAAAAACACTAACTCTGAATTCTGTGTCAGGTGGTTGTAAATCAAACTCCAAACCTATATACAGGACTGAAACGATCATATCCAGGTGAAATGTAAGCATACTGGTGTCTCTGCTTTACATTCCAATGTATATGATGAATGTATTCTGCAAAGCATTTACACGTGTTACAGCAAGTAAGTACAGAGTTGGATAGTTGGGACCAGCTAGAAAATAAGCTCAAATGACTGAGTGTTTTTTGGTCCCTTCTCTGAACTGCAAAACTATGTCTGTCTCTGGGGTCTGCAGAGGGACAACTGCTAAACCAGTTCTCATTTGAAATGTATGTAATGTAAATCTGTAATAGTAATGGACTGCAACATCTTCAATGTAACTGTGTTTATTGGATTCATCAAGTACCTGATTCTACATCACACCCTCAATTGTACAGTGTTCCGTAAAGGCGCTAATAGGTTAATTACTCAAAATCCTAATAAACTATATCCCAACAAGTCTTAATAAATCTGTTTTTCTGCACTTATATGAATAGTACATTTGACTTTGGACCACTGACTATGGAAACGGAGGACATTTTATGCTCAACAATGTATGTTTTTGTGAATTCAAAATTTGATTATGTGTTTTGTTCAATTGTTCCAAAACACATAACATAAAAAAACTTTTTGCCTGCCTGTCACACATTCTTAAATAGTTTTAGAATTTAAGCATCTAAACTGTTTGTTCTGAACAGCAATAATCCACAGACCACTGACTTAAAACACAAGAAAGTCAAATATTCTAAGAGATATCACAGGAATATAAAACAATATTTTGACACAAATTCAAGAGAGGAACTGAATTCACTCACTAAATCTTGACTCACCCAGTGTGTGCTGCACTCTCAGTGTCCAAATTCATCTGCTGCTTCTGTGTGAGAGACATGACAGGGTGACAGGGTTTTCCCTTTTACATGGCCCTGTAGTGAAGATGAGTTTTTTTTTTTTCTCTCTGTAGAGAGAGTTGTGGTTTTACAGAGGAGGAAGGAGGCTGTGGTGTAGGTGGCTCCACTTGTGGAAGGTAAAGTGTATTGCTTATGGGGCAAAACTCCATCATGAGAGCTGCTGTGGAACTTGGATTCATGAAACCTAAATGCAGTTTCATATTGTTCAAATTTGAGGGAGAAATGTTCACCCTCAATTCATCCTCAAATGAGAGTTGGAGTAAAATACTTAACAGCGCATTCTTATGAAGTTTGAATATGCTGAATAAGACGTGAAGACGTGTGGTGTTTAATTGTTTAAAGAGGAGTAAGTCTGTGGTGCGGTCCCTCACGAAACACATTAATGTTGGTTGTGGGTGGTTTGTGATTTCCCACGTTTTATAGGTCACTGTCACTGAGTTTAACACCCAAACAAATATGACGGGGGCTTTTTCTTCACACCATGCATTTGATGCAACCTGATGTGAAATGAGGAAATTCAAAGCTGGTCTCTTATATTATATAATTATAGCCTTCTATGTAAGTTTCTAGTTTACTTTACACTTAAAGTTTTGAGAAAGCTCCAAAAGTGTTAGTTTCACCTTCATGAAGAGTTTCAAATTAAGATGTTTAAATACATTTGGGGGTTTCTTTGAAAATCACACAAAGGTTAAATTCATCCACTTTCTTCCTGTTCCTTCTTTAAACTACAAAGATGAGAGTATGAGTAAGAACTACCACATATTTTCTGACTGTAAGTCTCAGTATAAAAAGTAACAGTTCAGGATTTGAATAATAAATGGTTAAGAAAAGCTCGGAGTAATCTCCAGCTTCATGAAGTGCTTGTACATACCCCACCTTGATGCTGAAATACGTTGCGAAAATCCGAAGTTAAATTCAATCACTTCCTTCTTATTGCTTGATGAACTAATTATGGGACAACTTCACACATTGAAAAAGTGAACTCACAGGATTTTTTTTAGGTTATTTTAAACTACTAAGAGGACAGTGTGAGTAAGATATGTCACACATGTACCAAGTCAGCGCAGAGTGTAAATTCCCTCCCATTAATTTCATCTCCATTTGTTTTGATCTTCTCGCTTTCTAGTTTTGTCGTGGCTTTTTATTGTTGGTCATTGGATATTTGCCATAATGTAATCTGTGTGAGGCACATATTAAGCTAAGATAATGTAAGATGATTTAGATTTAGTTTGTAGATTACCTTATTTTGCTCATTTGTATGGGGAAGATTGACATAATTTAATAAATGGTCATTTTACATGTGTTTATAAAATGTGCTTATTTTGAAGTTAAGGTTTTGATTAGGTGTCAGTAACTGTTTAGGTTGGGTCAGAGTTCTGGTGTCCAACTGTTGTAGCAGTTATTAAAGAATAGGTTCAATGCCCATACAAACATTTTTCACTTGCTATAATCATTCCTCCTGCCATAGCTGTACTCTAGCATTTTCCTTGTGTTCTCCTGCGTTTCCCCCTCCGCTGTGTCTCCACCCAGTAAGCCACGCCGTTCCTCTTCATCCTCTAGCCCTCTACTTCAACCAGCTACCTCCCCGCTTTTTCCACCTCCATTCCCCGCTACCATTGCAATAAATCCTTTTAGTTTACCTTAAACCTGAGTCAGTATCTGCATTTGGGTCCAACTTTGCATATTATAACATAAAAGATCCCTCCATAGAAGGACATTTTGTACTAAGACTTTATTCCCTGATTGGTCTGACAAATATCTAAACTTGCAATACATATCGACTTGTAAAGGCTACAGCATCATTGAACTTTTTTATCAACACTTGGTTAAGGTTAGGGAAAGATTGTGGTCTGGCCTATAAACAAAAAAGCCCAAAGTGACTTGAGACACATGGTGTCCTTTAACATTTAACCAAAACCACAACCTGTTCTAACCTTAACCAACGTGCATTTGTGTAGTGCTTGAACCTAAAGATCCGGGTCTGCACGCAAACCCCTGACTCTTTTGTGAAATGTAGTACTTATTTCTCCAAGACAGGTTTGTTTGGTCAGTATGGACAAGATGAATGATTACAGCAAGTAAAAACAGTTTTAATGTATGTAAGGGCACCTGACAACTACTTTAAGACAAGCTTGAAAACTTGTGAACCTATCCTTAAAAGTGGACCAAGCTGCACTGAAGAAGCTGCCTTTTAGACTTTATTGCAAGTGTGGAATGGATTGATCGGAAGAGGGAAAAGGAAGATGAAAAATCTTGGTATGAAACAGTAGTGAAAGTTGCACTCGGGTTTTGATGAATGTGAGGGTCAATTTCCATTTCACCTTACTTTCTTTGGTTTCATGCTCCATGGGACGTCCCCAACCAACAGGTCTATGTTCTTCTGGATTCTGTAAATGTCACCAACTTTCTCCTACTTTTGCTCTGTCAAGCACACATGCACAAACTAACACACACACCTACATGCACATGAAAGACAGGCAGACTGGATGTGGGCGGTTGGGTGCTGTCCCCACTCAAAACAAACAAATGGGACAAACAGTTCACTATTCAGTCTCCAGTGTAGCTTACCTATAGTGAAGGGTTGCATGGGTTCTTACCAAACTCACATCATTTCCCACAAGGTTCAAGTAGTCAGTAAATATGAATGGCGGGAAAACAAGGCTCTGTAGCCAAATGATAACATTTTATTACTTTGTTTAGTCCCATAGTTCTTCGTTTATTTGAACAAGAGCTGACAGTTCTGCTTTTCAAGAAAACTGCTGGTACAATCATGTGGTTTATTAGAAGAACCAAAGTAGAATACTAAGAATGCTAATACTAAGAATACTAAGACCATACAAACTTTAGGTTTAAATATTTCTCAGTAATATTTAATATAAAAAAAAAAAAAAAAAAAAGCAACAATCAAAGCTAGAGTTTAAAAACATCTTACGGTATAATTTTATTCAGAGTTTAACAGTCAAAGACTCATATCTCTAATATGCTTCATCGGGACTGTGTGGGTGTGGTTTGATCAAAATAGATTGACAGTAGCCTGGTAACGTAAACAACCCTACAACTGTCATCAGGTTCAAATGTTGCTAATCCTGATTAGCGCAGGGAAGTACGTGATGTTGTTTTTCCAACTGAGCCCTGTCCACTCAAACCAGTAAGAAGAGCTTGGAGGATATAAATCCAGAAAATCTGCCTAGTTACATAACCAAATCCAACCCATAGCTTCTGTGTACATGTGTGTTTCATGCATCTAAGAATGCAGATGGAACTGAAGTTACCCTCCAGTTTCAAATCTTCCCTGACAGGCCTTATAAGATAGTACTTTTTGAAAATATACAAATATTTTTGCATGAAGCCGCTTTGTATTTTATTATATAATGACATAATGAGGTAAACATGACATCAAGACTTTCACTTTTGAAACATACACCATTAGAATTTCTAAACTTCCTAGTTCTGGTGTCTGTTTATGGTCTTGGGTTTTCTTGTTTCTGATGTTTTGTATTGTTCTTGTTCTGCAGAAGGAGTATTTTTTACTTTTGATACTTCAAAATTTTGCTGAAAATACTTCTATGCCTTTACTTAAGTAGGATTTTAAATTAGTTTTCTACATATGGTTTTGGTACTTTTACTTGTAATTTTTACACTGCTGGATAGACATACACTCACATGTACAAATATATTGAACTTATAAACATTAACCCACATCGTACCTACCTTTTATCCCTCCCTACCTCCTCTCTGACCAAGAGCACACTCCAATTCAGACTTAAACTTGTTGTTAATGTGACTTTAAAGAGCTGCAAAAGCTTTGTGTATGTGTACAGTCCTATAATTTTTTATATTTAACCAGATAAGTCAGTTGCGAACCAATTCTCATTTACAATGATGACCGGGCCAAGAGGCAGCAACAGGAGGCAAGCCAATGCAACAAGTAAAACATACATACAGCAAAAAATCTTTAAACTGTTTATTGTCTACGTTTATTTTTATGATATACTTTCATATTTCATAATACAAAGGCTCTCACCTTGGACAGAACTACAGATGACTTAATTTCCCGCAACAGATTCATGTTAGAAATCTTTTAAAGCCCCACTCCACTGAAAAATTTGTTTTGCTTATTGTTACTTCACTTGGCTCTGAGCTTCACTGTGCTCAATGATGTATGTGCAGAGTTTGATACTAGAAGTTAGTTTTCATATTCACTTCCCAAGGGAGGAAAGTGTGTTCAAATACAAAAGAACCTACAAGGAACTTTCATTTTGTGTTGATTCTGGCAGTCCCTCTTAGACAAAAGCGGTCGTGTTTCCACCACCTATTTGTCTGATTTCAAGGGGAAGCCGACTGAATCCCAACCAATGACAAGCATTAAGAATAACTATAGAGAAATAGCCAATCTTTTCACTGATGTTCTTTGTTTAAGTGAGTCATTTAGAGGCATCATTATTCAATTGAAACTGCTTTATAACCAGTTTAAAACTCCTTGTGCCTTCAATGCACAAGGACTGCCCACACAGTTACTGCAAATTGGTGAGTTGTAAATAAGGATCAGGTGGCACACTGGAGTTTAACCAAGCAGAGACCAATAAGGGGAAACCAAAAACTGAAAGTTGACGAGGGAAATTCAACTTCTGTTTTCATTCTGTTTCCATCTCCCAAAGCATTTCCACAACCCTAACTGATCTCACAAATATGTGTTACTAAGTGACTGCGCTTTGTTTACTAAATACATATGTAAAGAAATGTCTTACAGTTGTGATGTGTCACTGTCTCTGGGACACGTACAGCAATGATGATTTCACAATCATAATTTCTGTTTTGTTTGTTTGCCCCAGCGTAAAGGTGAGGTACAAAGAAAGTGGAATATCGGTTGCTGTGTGTTTGCCTATGCTGGGAGACTTTTGTCTGGGGAACACTCTGGGTGTTTTTAACAACTTTCCTAAAGTTTGTATATATAGAGGACAACATAGAGTCGTAAAAAAGTATTTTGTTTATATAAAACTGATCCTGTCTGCTACTTTAACAGAGTCTTAAGGAAACAATATTTTTTTCTGGGAGGATTCCATCATATTTGTGCCACCACTTTTAGGTAATAATAATAATAATAATAATAATAATAATTTTTTTATTATTATTATTTTATCAATAATAATAATAATAATAATAATAATAAATAAAGCTTTCTAATATAGAATTGTGCTGCCTTGATTCAAGTTATATGAACAGGTTTTTCTGTGGCATCATGGGAATTCCCTGGGTTTCTGCTGGGTGGTTGTGGGTGGGTCCTCCCCCAAGAAGGTGCCTCTGGTTATTTGGACTGAAAGTGACAGTTGACAGGGATAATAGGTGGATGAGGAAAATCAAAACAACATCATGGCTGGCTTCACTTTTCATTGTAGCATTAAACCACAAATCATGTTTTTTTTTATGATGTAATTTGATGTTTGAAAAAATGTTGGTACTAATTTTCAGTCTTTGTTTCTTCTTTATTGTAAAAGGTGAATAAAATATCACATTTCAAGAAAAAAATATTTTATTTTCACTGTTACAGAGGAAAACCATGAAATAATTGTATGGTTATCCAGGACGTCCATGGCCCCCGGCAACATCCTGTAAAATATGATGTAGAATGAAGAGCCTGTAATTCAATCAGCAATGACAGATCAAGTTAAAGGACCAGTGTGTAGGATTTAGTGGCATCTAGTGGTGAAGTTGCAGATTGCAACTAATTGAACATTGCTGGCGTCTGTATTTGACCTGGGAATGAAAACGAGCTACAGTTTGTCCTGGAAATCTGTGTGCGTGCTACCTTTTATGCGTTTGGGTGTTAAACATGGGTATTCAGCATTACCCAAACGTTACTTTACTTTAGAACCACAAAAAATACTGGGAAGGCGCATCCTCTCTAACATCTAGCATTTTATATCCCATTTGTGCCAGCAAATCCTCCTAAATGTTACACACTGGACCTTCAAGTATGGAAAATCATTAAAATGACAATGAGAGTAAAATGTAATATTAGTGCCTACCTCCAATGTTAATATTTAGGCGCAAAACTCTGTAAATGCAGATATAATTGTTAGATTCAAAAAGAAATATTCCTATCATCTTCTCCACTAAAAAAGTATATTATCTAAACGACAAACCTTTCTCTTGGGGTAGTCTGACACTTGCCAACATGCCATGACAGGCTGTGTTTTTAAAAAATGTTGTCACCACCGCAGAGTCGACATCCGTCTGGCGAGCTACAGTGAAAGGCAATTGACAAAAAAAAGGTGCAGTAGACTTTGGTTGCTGTCAAACATATACAACGATCAATGTTTGAGTGTTTATTTAACGTATCTTGTGGGAGTTGTTATATAAAGTAATAGTTCACACAGAAATGAAAGCTGGCTCACCTTTATGCCAAATAAAAGGCAGTTTTTACCTCGTGATTTCCTGGATTTTGCTGCAGTTTTCAGTTAGCTCAGTAGGTTAAAGGTACAAGGCTGAACATTGGATTTGAGGGCCATCAGAGTAATGATTCGACTACACTTGCCTTAAGTTAAAACACAGCTGCGGAGGGGTGGACTATATTAGTAAAAGCTAGCTGGTGAAAAAGACAGACAAGCCTAAACTAAAGCTTAAATTTATTTAACTGATGTTTCTCAAGCTGTCATCTGTAATTGAAGAAATATAATTTGATGAACCATCATCTTGGTAATTCAGTTTGTTAAAGCAGAAGCTAAATCCCATTGTGATTCCTGCTAAAGATAACTAGCTTAGCTGAGTAGCACAAACTGCCATCTCAGCTTTTGACTTTTGTCAAATTCACATGATGTGGTGTTGTTAAACTACCTTTTAAAATGCTTTAAATTGTAGCTTCATTTATTTCAATATACTGGAAATAGCAAAAGTAGAAAGTCAGACAGACACTAGTGAACAAATCAATGGATAAGAAAAATGAAAGAATGGATTTTCTTTGTAGACGAGTGTATCTGCATTTTTAAGGTCTTCTAAGTAGGCCTAGTACAATGGCCCTGGAAAGTACTTAATCAACCTAAACAGACATAAAATAAAGGCATGACAACATTTTCTTAGTTTTACTGCTTTTCTATACTGCTCTCACACATATTATGCAGACCAAGCTGTTTGCAGATATTTTATAGTTATTTGCAGATGTAATAGTGCGGGAAAGGGCTGAAATTAGTATTATTTGGGGTGAACTGATGGCTTACCATATATCATGAATCTGTTTAGGGAGTCCTCTGTGTCTGTCTGGTTCAGAGGTGGTTCTACTTCTTGGAAAATGATGCACTCGGAGCAATTGGCCCACTTGCCGCTCCAGAGGAGGTTCTTCCGATATGTCCTTCCTGGATCAGTACAACAAGACACAAGCAGCAACAGTAGCAATAGAAGTGAGTGACACAAGACGAAGTCAACATACTGCTGTTTACTTTCAAAGGGCTACAACTAATCATTAACAGGAGTGTCTTTGGTATAAGGCTGCTTTCACTTTGTTGATCAGTTGACCAACAGACTTTAATGGTTTTGGTCAAGCCTGGAAAACAAAAGCACAGCATTAACAGTGACATTTCTCACATTTTGGGAAATACACTGTTTGCTTTCTGGAAGCCAGTTAGATAAGGCTACAGCCAGAAGCTGTTTTGCTCAGCATAGCACAAAGACTAGAAACAGGGGAAAACAGTAACCCTGGCGCTATCAGATGTTAACCTCCACCAAAATCCACCAAATAACAAATCATGTGCTGTTGTTAGTGTTGTTACTGAATGAGGTACTTTCTCTGACCAGTTGGTATCCACCTGTTGAAATTCCTTTTTTGTACAGTAGGCTTTATTGTTGTACATCATAGAAATATAAACTGTAAATTTTGGAAATAATCTTGGGCAAATGTGTCCACAAATTCCTTTTTTTTGTTCTGTAGGCTTTTGTAGATCACCATAGCAATAAAAACTGTACATTTTGGAAATAATCTTTGGCAAGTTGTAGTCCAGTCAACGTGAAGAAAATGATGCCCTCTACTTAACACCACCAGGGGCAGAACAGTTTTATATCAAATGCTATCAAATGTAACACATTAGTTTAGATACATTTTATGTGTTAAAATGACAAAGTTAATTAATATAACTTATTGATATGTTATGTCCATGTTTTAGACAAAGTAATAAACCTAAGTTCAATAAAAAGACATGTATTTGGAAAAATATATGAAGATTTTAAGTTATTAAATTCTAATGGCAGCTTTAGATATCAACTGCTTCACTACTGTGCCACAATAATAAATGTGTTTGAGTTAAAATATCTTCATTTGGGGGCTTTTCTAAGCAAATTGATTTATGCGATTGTTTGCAATTAAATCGCCATATATTTCTGCCACCCATTAAAGTCTCCATGCCACCCTAACCCATGAATATTTCTCTAAATCCACCCCTGCTTCACACCATTACTTACTTGTTCTACATGAGACAGCATGAGATAGAAGAATTAGACTTGACAAGTTTGGAACTATAGTGATTTAATGTTTTTGTGAATTTAACTTTTTCAGGATCCTGAAGTTTTAAAGCTAAAACCCATCCAAAAGTAATTTCAGTAGAGAACTTTAGCAGTACAATTGGTCTAACTGAATTACTCAAGGGTTTTCCCCACCCTGCTATTAATTCATTTCTGGGAAAATTATTGAATCCCTGTAATGTTTTAGTGTGAAGATGTTTCTTTATTTTAACACTGGCACAAAGTTCCCACCTTAAACAAATAAAATTACCTTTCAGAAACCCATACCCATTTATGTCTTCTGTGTGTGTGTGTGTGTGTGTGTGTGTGTGTGTGTGTGTGTGTGTGTGTGTGTGTGTGTGTGTGTGTGTGTGTGTCTGTGTGTCTGTGTGTCTCTGTGTGTATTTTTTTAGCATCTGAGTGCAGATGTTACTGTAGTTACCCTCCAATTCCAAATCCTCCCTCTCAGGACGTATATGATAGATCCAGGTCTTTTTTGTGCAGTGGTCTCCTCTAAAAAAAAAAGTGAAATTAACATATATTTAGCATGAAGCGGTTTTACATTTTATTATATAATGACACAAGATAAACATGTGATCAAAACTTGGATTTTTTTTAAACATACTTTCACACTTTTGCACTTTCTGAATGTCACTTCCCTAATTCTGGTGTCTATTAAGGATCTTGGGTTTTCTTGTTTCTGTTTCTGTTGCTGTCTTGTTCTTGTTCTGCTGAATGAGTAATTTTACTTTTGACATTAAAATGGCAACTAGTAAATGGACTGCACTTATATAGTGCCTTTCTAGTCTTCTGACCACTCAAAGCACTTTAAACTACATGCCACATGCATACACTGATGGCAAAGGCTCATCAGAAGACAAACTGATTCATTCACACACTGATGGCAGAGCATCTGGAGCAATTTGGGACCCAGTATCTTGCTCAAGGACACACATGGTAAATGGACTGTACTTGTGTAGTGCGTTTCTAGTTTTCCAACCACTCAAAGTGCTTTTACACTACATGCTGCATTCACCCATTCAAACACATTCATACATTGTTGGCCACGTCAGACAGAAACTAACTCATTTTCACACCGTTCAGTATCTTGATCAAGGTTCCATGGATCACATCGCCAACCTTCTGAATAATCAATGACCCACTTAATTGTCTGAACCACAGTCGCCCACTCAACCACTACAGTTTAACTGGATATGCTTCTGTACCTAACAGAGTATTTCTATTTATGTTATTGGTACTTTTATTTAAGTAAAAGTATTGTGAATGAATAAAGTGTAAAACAGTTTTTAATTAAAGCAAACTACTTCTGTGCTAAGACTTAATAAACATCTACACTTTACGCTTAAATTTAACTGCTATATTCACCAAAGAAGTGCATACCAGATCATTTATCACTCTGCACGTCATGTCAAAACCACCATTCTAAACAATAGCTTCATAATTTTGTATATCATAATATTCTTGCTACATCTTATACTAGTTTTGGAGAATGGTCTTTTGACCTCATCGTTACCTGCATAATAAAATATGCAGACATGGTGTGTTAAGAAACTTGAACTTCCTTAAAGAAGGAGGTCATGGCCTTGATGAAGATGCACCAGGTTTTGAAACATTGGTCATTTAATAAAGTGTGTTTCCCTACACTGTTCTCCAGTGTACTTTTATATATGTGTGTATTTCCGTGTGAGTATTTGCTGCCTCACATGCGCATATTTCCAGTCAGCAGCAGGGTGTCATTGGCTGTCTTCTCCATGGTGAACCAAATGTTGTCCAGTGCTCTGAAGTTCTGGATGTCAGCCTCTTTGCGACCGACTGCTGCTTTAAAGTACCACTTACCCAGGTACTAAAACAGACGGAGAAAGAGAACGGTTGCACAAGAGTGTGGGGTGGTGTCAACAGTAAGAATGGAACATATCTCAAGATATAAACCCACAACTTGAAAGACCACTGGTGGAAAAAACAGAGGGGGTGGGGAGTTTGTCTGGTGTTTATCTCGGTAAATCTTTTTGCATCAGCAGTAACTGTGACATACCAGTGCAACGTAGGACACGCTTAACCAGAAGCAATTTATCAACATTGGATAAAATACAATACAAATTACACATTTGTCATAAAATGTTTTCCTGTGAAACCACCCAAATCAAAAAGGCTGGTAAAAAAAAAGTAGATTACGGTTTGCATTTGATGATAAACAGAAAATCAAAATTTTGTTTCTCACCTGCTGATGTTCAACAATGTTGACAGGCAACTGCTCAACAAATGCGCAAGGAACAATGGCTTGATACAACAAACTATATAAATACAGGAAATATGACCACACTTCACACAGCATACTTGCAGTTGCTGAGAGCTAATATTTGACGATAAACCTGGTCAAAATGTCTGTTAATCCTCAGAGCACCCGTGTCAGTTCAAAAGAGTGTGGGTGTCTGTAAATTATTAACATACAATGCTGCAATACCCCTGATCTCTAAAAGAGACAATGGGTTCACTAAGGCAGTATCTCTGTCTCTTAACATAAAGACTCAAGATTTAGGATAAATGCATTTGAAGCAGATGAATCATTCTTTTCCACAGAGAGTTTTGCTCAAGTTCCAAAATGTGCTCAAACTCACTGAGAAGCAGTCTTTCTGGGGCCTACTGACTCATCATCATCCTGGAGGAGGAGGCGGTTTCTTTTAAACTATTTCAAAAAAAGAAACTTTGAAAGTCTGCTAACATGCTACAACCTCAAGTACCTGTTTCGGAAACGCTTAAAAAACAGAGACTTGCTAATTTGTTTGGTCTGTCCTGACAGAAGAAATCCCACACTCTCTGTCAACATACATCTACTAGAAATCATTAACTACTTGTTTAAAGTTAACGGTGACTCATCCATCATCCTACACTAGTGCTTGTCTGTTATTTCCTTGCATAATCCTTCAGTCTTTTGGTCCATAAAAAGCCAGAAATGTAAAACATTTCACACAGCCTAAATTACCAGACTCAAATTGCTTGTTTGTCTAAAAAACTAAAAGATATTTAGTTTTAAATTATTCAAATTGGACAACCTGAAACCAGTACATTTTGCATTAAACGTTACTTAATTTAATCACATTAGTTATGAAAATAGTTGCATTAATTTTGTTTTGGTTCGCTAATTGATTCACTGACAAATCATCTAAGCTCTAACATATTTTTATCAGGAGGTAAATGTAACTGAGGTCAGGTTATACTTGTGTTCCACACCTACTTCCACAAGGGGGTGTCAAACAACAAGCAATGTTACACCTGTTTTAACTCCTCCAGAAATCACAAATTTGTGATGTTTACAGGCTCCCGCTGATGATCATGGGTGCCGGTGTTGACCAAATGAATCACACCTGACAAAGTTTGTTTTGTTATCTTAATGGAAATTGACATTACAGAAACAGATCACTGATGCAGTGTAAAATCACATTTATATTTCTGTTTCATTGCAATCATTTCTACCATATATAGTAGTACTTCTAATTCCTGCACACTTAATTGACTGACTCTGACTTTTATAAATCTTTGTCCTCTTTATTTTATTGAGTCCATTTGAACTTTTTTGTTATATTTCTTGGCATGGGAACCTCACAGTGCAAAACAAAAATCATTTGTCTAACATTGTTAAAGTAGCAAGCAAAAGTATTGGCACACAGCAGCTTTCTTTAGCAGATCACCGGGACAGAGAAGTTTTGCAAAAAGGCCCAGTTGATCTAAGCCAGCTTTGACCATCCACTTTCAGAGGGAGTGCGAGGGAAGGCCCAGGCAGTCAAGGACCTCTCCAGAGCTGCTGAAAAGGGGAGTCAGTGGCTGTGGATAAAGAGGAAAGACTCCACCTGGGCCCTCAAGTAAATAGATGGGATTTGGGTTGCTTTGGGGAAAAAATATGCTATATAAATGTGCCTTGCCTAATGTCACATGTCCCCTTGTATGTTATGTTATGCATGTCCTCTACTGTAGGGACAATGAAGATCTGAACCGAACTGATTGTAAATATTTAACTAAAACGAGGTGAGCAGAACCTTTTCCGCTCCGACATGCAGAAAAGTACAATGTGCAGAGAACTCCTTCCTTTGGGAAGCTTATATTTTATTCATGTTGAGACTTTGTTGTTGTTGATTCAACTCTACTTGATGCTGTACTTTGCAATACTGTTAAAGTTGAACAACAGCTGACTTATTTTTGTGCTTTATTTATGGTTACAGACACAGCAAATCTCATTATTCAACAGCAAAATCAATGTAATTTAAACAACCTTCCCATACGAAGTTAAATACAGGATTTGTTTGGTTGCCCATAGATTCTACAAAGTGATATTTCACACACACACACACACATTAGTGAGTTAATCAAAGGACCACCAAAAACACCAGAACACCAAGTCTCAAGACTTTTCTTTATTGTTTAATCATATTACTGATGAACAAAGTATCAAGAAGTGCCACATAGTTATATGTATTTATTATACAGTTTCTCTGTCTTTCAGGTGAAGAAGGTGTGGACAGGACGGCATGAAAAGCCAGTTGGCAAATAAAGGTTAACTAAATATAAACCAGTTCTAAAGCGTGTGGTTATGAATACTGTAAAAGACAGAAATGTGGACACCATAATATGAACTAAAGCTGTTCCCAGTATATTTTCCCAGAGTAAAGCAGGGATTTTTATAAAATTAGGCCAAGCAAAGGGATTGCTTAACTTTGAACTCTAACATTGCTGAAGATGTATTTAAGAATTTCTAAGAGCCAAACTCTCAAGTAACACTATTAAAGGTCAATTCTCATTGTTATCTGTAGTTTCTTATGAACCTATGCTACAACAGTTTAGTTATAAGTGAACAAATCAATTATCTTCATAAATTTTCTTTCCATTCCCGTCCGTCTGTGTAATGTTGCATCAGTGACATAGGGCCGATTTGGGTATGTGCAGTAGCTTCTTGTTCCCCTCTCTCTTTGATGGCACGGCAGATCCACCTATGACTCCCCCTTCAGCACTGATACCAGGTCTCCACTCTCCTTCAGCTCCTTGAGTATGTCCAAACCTCCAATCAGCTCTCCTTTCACGTAGAGCTGGGGGTAGGTCGGCCAGTTAGAATATGTCTTGAGCCCCGTACGCACCTCTTCATCCTGCAGAATATCAAAGGTGTCATAATCCACCCCGGCACCATTCAAGAGCTCCAGTGTCTGCCTGCTGAAGCCACATCTCGCAGCCTCCTTGTTGCCCTTCATGAACAGCATGACTGGGCTCTGGTTGATGATGGTCTTCAGACGGTGCTCCAAGGTGACAGCCTTCGGGCAGGTGTTCTCCAGCTCTCCAGACTCAGCCAGCTCCTTCACTATGTCCAGTCCTCCCACCAGCTCTCCGTTCACGTACAGCTGAGGGTAGGTGGGCCAGTTGGAGTAGGTCTTCAGCTCCTGTCGGACCTCCTCATCAGACAGGATGTCAAAGCTGCTGAACTGGATGTTGTGCTCCTTCAGCAAGGCCACTATCTGCCGGCTGAAGCCACAGCGGGGCTCCTGCGAGGACCCCTTCATGAAGAGCATACAGGGGGCCGCGTTGATCAGCTTCTTCAGCCGCTGGTTCAAGTCTGTCGCGCCGCTTACCGCAGCTCCACCCGGACTCCCGGTGACCGCCAGGCGCTGTACCTTCTTGCCCAGCTCCGGAGCATGCGCCCCGTCCAGGCGGTCCACCTTCTCGCCACCTTTGAAGAAGAGGAAAGTGGGCACAGAGGCTATTTCATACTTCTCCGACACCTCCGGCACCGCTTCCGCCTCAAGCTTCACAAACGTGGTGTGCGTGTGTTCCTTGGACAGCTCGGCCATCACTTCGTTCATCTGAGCGCACTGCGGAGCCCATGCCGCCTGGAAATGCACCACGGTCAGACATTTTCCAGCTTTGGCTAAGAAACCTTCAAACTGCTGTTGGCTCGTCGCCTCCACGAGATTCGCCATTTTTCTTTCTCCCCCTTCCTCCTCTTCCTCCTCCTCTTCCTCCTCTTCCTCCGACGTCACATCCGTGCACCCTGGTAGCTTCTAGCAAGTGCCAGAGCTCGTACAAGGAAGTCATCTGCATGTTATTTGATGATAAGAAACAGCTGCATACACTGGATAAGTTGAAAGGATAGTGAGACTTTTAAGGTAACCGTCAAACACCCACCCAGCGGCGTTGAAACGTTGAAGAAACGCCGTATTGTCTCGGATGTGATCGGTGTGTTGTAACGTTTAGTTTATTTAGCATTAGCTTAGCCTCCTCACTAGTCTGGTTTCTAGGTTAAAGCTAGGCGATGCTAACTAACGCGAGTTGGCTAACGTTATTCCTAATTACTATTACTAATTACACTGTTACACATTACTGTTTAAATGTTCTCGGTTTATGTTAAAGTGTTTAAATGCCCGTGTTGTTGACTACCCCGCAGGAAACAGCTAACCCGCTTTAGCTGCTAGTTACCGACGTTAACCGACTTAACGACAACAACCGACGTCCTTCTTCTGTTTCACCTTTTATGATTTGTGTTAACGAAGTTGTTGTTGCTGTATTTGTCGCCGTTATTGCTGCTAAGTGGGGCAGTTTTGTTATTCAGTATGTATTTGATTGTGTGTGTTATTCGTGATTCTGACCATTAATGATTTGCAGGTCTGTTAAATGTCTTTTCGTGTTAAGTTATTTGAGATGTTGTTCAGGCTGTAAAATGTTAGAAAGAAGTGAAACGGCCTTCACAAGTTCCCAAATTTGCACAAATGTTGTCTTCAGTCTGCTTCCTTTTGTCCTGAGTGTAATCTAAAACCCAGAGATATTTAAGTTACAGCGAAATCCGCACACTGAAATAGCAGGAAAGATGTTTGACAAGTTTTTCTCGATATGTGACTTGGATGATTAACGTTACTTGATCAGATTTGTTGACAAATAATGTTCTGTTAATCAACTAATCAAAAAAAAACAACAAAAAAAAACAAATTAAATTAAATACACCAGTGTTGTCTTTCGGAAATTGTGATGAGCATTATTTGTTGACATTTTATACACATTATTCAGTTAATGGGGGGGAAAAAAGGATTTATAGCAGCTGATAAGTACTAAGAAATGTCATATATGAATGCCAAAGATATGTTTGAGGTCATTTAGAGACTGTCCATTACAGTGTTTGTCCACTAGAAAGCACAGGAGTTTATTTTCTTAGCTGTTTAAGGGATCCTTGCCCCCCCAAAAAAAAGGTTGTTTATGTTAAGAAATGAATACCAGCTGATGTAACATTATAAAAAAATGTAAAACTCTCAAATATCAATATTGGCTTTGGCCTCAAGTATCCAGTATCAGTTGGGCTATAATTACTGGAACACAATGTTGTTGTTTTTTTGATACAGGAACACCATGGAGGAACAAACTGCAGACATAGAGGTGACAGTCAAAACATTAGACTCCCAAAGCAGAACCTACACTGTTGGTGCTCAGGTAAATTCATCAGTTCATACTGTAAAATTGTGGAGTGTATTCTCATTTTCAGTCAGCCTTTAGCGATAGTCTGACTCATGTCTGTACCATCTTTTTTTTTTTTTTTGTAGTTGACAGTGAAAGAGTTCAAGGAGCACATTGCCCCTTCGGTGGGTATCCCTGTGGACAAACAGAGGCTGATCTACCAGGGCAGAGTCTTACAGGATGAAAGGACTCTGACAGACTATAGTAAGTAATCGAGGGGGTCCGTTAAAGCAATGCTGAACGTGACATTATTTTGTTTCAAGGGCATTTGTTTTTGCAATTTTTCCTGATTGTTTTTTTAAGTTGTAATCCTGC